AGATGTCGAACGCTGCCGAACGCGGAGGCCGATTGTGCCTCTTTGTCGCTCGTTCCGCGCTCTCGCTTGCACTTCAAGCCTTAAATGGAACGCCTCAGAGCGAGGTAACGCCGCATGAGTCATGTTTTTTCGTGCGTGCAGCCGGCTGCATCGAATTATAAGACGTTATCACGTCAAAAATTGTTAAATTTGAAATGTCAAAAAGCCTAGTGTAATCAAAACTTGACCTAATTCGTCAAACAAAGTATTTACTGGTTTTACTAGATAATGTGCTCCTTTTTTAACTCTTTATTCGACTTTAGTATAAAGTTAGGTAAAATTTTCTAACGTTCTGATTCGGGTCTAAAGGTCGTAGTGTGTTAAAGTTGCTCTCTAACACTTCTTCAGAGGTCCTTTCTTCCATCTCCGATGCTGCATGCGGACTCCACCACATGACGGCCTTTAGACCCGAGTCAGAACTCAGAACAGCATCAGTTCACCTACTGGCCGTGAAAGCCTTTACGAATTTGTCAAAATTTATAGCATTTTATTGTTTTATGTTTTATCCAAGTTTTATTAGGTGTTCTGCGAAACAGTTAGATTATTTGAATAATAAGAACAAGTAATTTGTACATTGTCTAATAAATGATGGAGATCAGAACACGTTCATCTTCACAATAATTATCACAAAATATACTATACACAAGCTTAAACCCTTATGAACATACGACGCCGTAAAATCTGAAAATATGGAGTATTTGTATCAAACATCAATAAATAGAGGTTGGGATTGGGTTGGATCACTTATCTCCACACGATCTTCCTTCTCTAATATATCTCCTAACTCATGGCCTGCGTATACGTTATCTAAATACTTTTCCACCTATCTGCCTTTTCCTCATTTTCTATCAAAATGACCCCTGCCTCGTTTCTTATATTATTACTTCTTATATAATTCATTTTAATTATATTATAAGCCTCATCGGTTTTACCTACATGAAACTATTCTTCTACCTCTTTACACCTTATATAAATCCACTATTCCTTGGCACAGTTTACACTTCGTAATTATTTCCCAATTTATAACCTTATATGTTTTTTGCCCTTCTTCGTCTGTCCTGTTTTCGTATTTCCGTCTTTCTTCTATTAGTCCTACAATCTCATTTGTTATCCAGGGTTTTCTACTTTCGTTTTGTTTAAGACCTATTATATCTGTAGCTGCTGACTTTAGGCACGTTTTAATGCAGTTCCATTCTGTCTCTATGTCCCTGACATCATGCGTTTCGTTACATTTTAGCTTTACTACCTTCTCGTACCTTTCCTCTTTTTCAGAATTTTCAATTTAAGATTGGTATTCATAGCTACTACGTTATGATCGCTATCGATATCTGATCCTGGATAACCCCTACAGTCCTTCACTTAATTTTTAAATCTTTGCCTAACAAGTATGTAATCTAACTGATATCTCCCTAAATCGCCTATAATCTTCCACGTATTGCGCCTCCTAACGTGATGGTTGAATACAGTATTCGAGACGGTTAAGTTATTATTATCGCAAAATTCTATCAGCCTATCTCCCCTGTCATTTCAATTGCCTAATCCAAAAGAACCTGCTATTGCACCCACTTTACCTTCACCTGCCCTTTCACTAAACTTAACACGTCTAACTATCCTATCGCTTTTTGGTGAATAACTTTCTACACTCTGCCCTTATTTCATACGCATTACAATTTCTATCCCCGAGTTACCTTCCACCTATCCTGTATGTATTAGTATAAAGTTTCCACTACAGAAGTGTCCAGCTTCGGACCAACGGGCTTCACTAATACCTACTACATCTAATTCTAGTCTATTCATCTTAACTTTCAAGTTTTCCAATTTCCCTACTTGCCTCATTGTCCTAACATTCCACACTTCGACTCGTGAAATATTGCAACTTCTCCTATTGCACTTATTGATGACATCCCCTGAGGTAGACCCCGTCCGGATATCCGAATGGGGGACTAGTTTACGTCCGAAATGCTTTACTCCAAAGGGCGCTATCATTTAATTTGTATAGTTGTACGTTTCACTTGTTTATAATTAACTTATGTTTATTAATTTTTTACTACTTTCTTTTTTAATCTTTAATGTATTAACTGAAGAATGCTTTTCTTTCATTGGTTAGGATCATAATGTTACGGTAGGAAAAGACAACACAAATCTTCACACCTTTCAGCGCTATGTTCAAATGTAGCACATTTTAAAGTGACTTATTATGTAGGTGTGGCTACTATATAAACAATAATTATTAATAAAACTATAGAATTTTTGTTTACATTTGCAGCGAATTTTTGAAAAATTAAAAAAGTTTTAGGATATTTTCTGAGTTATTAGAAATAACGAAACCCTCTGAATTTTTAGTGGGTTAAATTCAATGTATTAGTGAATAAAATTTAAAATTAACTTTGCCCACTACAGATTTCTTCAATGAGGAAAAGTTGTTGCTTATTAATTTTAAAATTAATTCAATAATACATTCAAAGTGTCTCATTACTAATAATGATTATGCATTGGTTCGATTGACGTTCGCTGAGAGTCTCATACAGGATGTCAAAAAATGGTAGAGTGTTTGTAAATTTAATAAAAAAAACTACAAGTCAGAAAAAAATCTTTGTTGTTGATTTTTAAAGAAAATTTCGGAAAATTAAGTGTCAAAGATAATGTTATCCAAATATTCACCCTCGCTCTGCCAGTACTCCTCCAATTGAAAACTGAAATTAACCGCTACGCGTCTCTGGAAACGGCGACCATTTTGGTGTGGATATTGTGCTTCAATTGCAGTAGAAATCGTGGTTTGTTTGCATACACCACCTCTTTAAAGTATCCCCATAAAAACAATCAGGAGATGTGAGATCGGGGTTTCTCAAAGGCCAATTGATGGTGCCTCTACGAGAGATTACTTTTTCCGGGAAAAGTTGATTGACAAGTGCAACCGATTAGTTTGAGGTGTGGCAAGTGGCTCTATCTTGTTGAAATCATCTTTCCACATTAAGATCATCACACTGTTGCAGTTGTGGAACCAAAAAGTTTCTTAACTTGTCACAATACCGGTCACTGTTTACCGCAAGTGTTCGCCCTCGCCGTTCCATGAAATAACTTTTGGACTATGTAGTGGTTGTTCATGTTTATGTCTTAAATTTTCTTTGGCCCAGTAGCGACAGTTCTGTTAGTTTACGAGACCAAGACGAGTGAAAGTTCGCTTAGTCACTAAACAGAATATTTTTAAACGTTGGAAAGCGTTGAAGAATTTCATTTGCTAAATTCAGTTTTTGATCTAACCAAATTTTGTAGGCTGTAAGATGTAAATCTTGCTTCAGAATCTTCTGTAACGACGATTTTTTAATGCCAAGTTCTTGACTGCGTTTGCGACGGATTTTCACGCACTGACACTCTCATTTCTTCAATCGTTTGTTGGGTTCGAACAGAGCGCGGGCGACCTGGATTGTGTATTTTTGCTGTCGAACCGGTATTCTCGAACATTGGAACTCATTTTCTGGTGGTATCGTCCTTTGGTGCATTCCGTACATTGAATTTTACCCGATATAATCGTTGAGCTGTGATCATCGGATCATCATTGCCATAATAGACAAGTACGCAAAAAGCACGATGGTCTCTCGGGTACACTTTCATAGTCATTAAATTTTCAAAACGTAGGAAACAACCTATCCCTACCGCACCCTTCCGAACCGCGTCGTTACAAGGACAGCGCAGATACAAATACCCCCTATTCTTTCTGAAAACCTTGTATAATGTACCATAAACGATATGATTTCAGCTTATTTAATAATAATTTACAATTAGTTAGGTGGTGTTGATGTGCTACAAAAGTATGGATTTAGTAAAAACGCTACCCAGTCACGGTGTTCTATAAAATATTTCGAACTAAATCAGCGGGTTGACAGCGCAATGTAGAAGCAAACATTGTTGTGACTAATGTTTACGATGGATTCAAGTTAATTATTTAATTATTAGAGTCAATCACAGCAACCTAAACTAACTATGACGTAATCTTCAAGAGAATCATAGTTTGTTATGGCCAGTTTACGGTGTCCTGATTTGAAATCTGATAATCCAACCTTACAATTGCCCAGAGGCGGCGTAAGTCGTGAGCGGTGTGGGGCCACCGTAGTAGTAAAAAGTACTGCTTCCGCTGAAAGGAGCTTTTCAAAATTGAAACTAATTAAAAATTATTTAAAAAATACTATGAGTCAAGTAAGACTTTCAGCTTTGGCAGTTTTATCTGTTGAAGCCGATATAGCATTTAAGATAAATTACGAACCAATCATTAAGGAGATCAGTAAAACCAAAGAAAATTTTTGTTTTATTAATTTTTTCTTAATTTTTTTTTTTTCGTTTTTGTTTAATGTTCCAAAGAAGTATAAGTAAAAATTAAGGTTTGTTTCTTAATGAATAAAAAACTGTTTAATTTTAAGTGATTTTTATTTTACATCCCTTTCTTCTTGCACCATCAGAGGGCTTCGCAAAATGTACCATACCCACATTAAGTTTAGGTCTTGCGCCGCCACTGCAATTGCCCTACGTCTAAAAAGCTTTGCCGCTTCCTAAAGTTGCTCGAGTATATTCTACAAGATAACACCTTGATCAGTATCAGTATAAACTGACGGTAGCATTTTATTAGATAAAAGAATATAATAATTATGGAATTGTATTTCACAGCGTTACAGTTAATTTGGCATAACTATGAGAATAATTACTTTAGTAACAAAAAATAGATTTTAACTTTTATTTGAACTATTGCTACTGGAAACTGTTTTGTATATGTCCAAAAGAAGGATCACCTAAAGCTTCCACGTTAAAATGCATTTTTATTAAAAAAAATTCGTAATGCATTAAAACAAAGAAATATATTCTGCAATTAAAAATACAATCAGGACGATGAAATATCTCCGCTTAAGGTCTCATTATTCCAAAGTAATGAATGCTGGCCAAAAGCATAAAAAACAAGTATTTGCATGTAGCTGGAAGTGCTTGTTAAAGTTCACTGAAATGGGTTTTCGAATTACCCTATAAATGTGAAAAAAAAAAATAAGGGAAGCTTATGAGTTTTTAACCATTTTCGAATAAAAGATAAAAAATGAAAACGTACTTAAGTCTATACGCATAAACTTAATACGTAATAAGTAATTTGTTTTTGGTCATGGGTTTATAAAACAATAATCTTTTTGTTGTTCTTATAATCATTGAGAATGCAATATTATTTTTTGTTTAACGTACGCTTTCCCTCATTCCAGGATGTAATAATGAGTTTGAGATTTTTTATTATAGGTGTGTTTAATTATCGTTATTACAACGATTTGCGAATGCGCATCCTTTATCTTTAAAAATCAGTTGTGCACATACGTTATTGTTCATTGAAAAATGCATATGCATAAATCTTAGTAAAAAAAGGCAAATGATCACAACTTATAAATTTTAAAATAAAGAATGCAGCTGAGCAGGGACAAAAACCTTTTACGTTTATTGGGATAATGTTGTTTAACATAAAATATCGTTAACAAACCAGTTCAATAATTATTTAAATATTTTTTAAAGCGAAATATAAAAAAGCATTGACAAAACAGAATTGTAAGAAAATAAATAAAATTAAAACAAAAATGGTATGCAAGAATGGAAGAAAAGGTAAGGAAAGAGCGAATATAAAGATAAGAGACGAAATATTAGAAGAAGTCAGATAAGTAAGGTCGGAAGGAGTAGTAGGGTAGTCGAGTAGCCTTCAATAAAAAGAAGTCACTTCTATGGTCGCGAACGATTAATTTAGAAATTCATAAAAGGTTGTTAAAGATGTATGAGTGTTATTCGCCCTGTACGGGTGCAAAACGTACAGTACTGCACGGAAAAATTGACCAATTTATTCACTACAATTGCATTGCTCAAATGTGCTGTTATTGATACTATTTACTACTGAAAATATCATGATTGAAGAAATCTCTTGACAGGTACTGTATGAAAAAGTATGTTTAATGAACAACAGTCGAGAGTATAATGAGCTTTTTTCTCCCTACCTACGATTTTGTCAGCGCATCCAAGACATTGGAAGGGGCACATCGCTACAGAAAATAAATGAAGTATAATGTTGAACTCTTTTCCAAATGATGATGTATTTATGCATAATCGATAAAGGTAATGTCTCCTACTCCTCCTTTATTAATTCATTTCTACTAGCTTTCCGAACCAATTAGGAAAATGTTAATTCTGACGAATCTAAAACCGCAATTTTATAGTGCATGCTTAATTTGACGAATTCGTTTTTTCATTTCTGATTTCCTAAAATTCAATAAGCAGGACTTCAAAACTACATTAGCAACGTTAATGGTTTGCGTGACCATCCATCCGACATTACCCTTTTAGATTATTTTTTAATTCTGCCATCGTAATTACGAACGATAGATGTACCGTGTTTAATAGGAAACGATTTCTAAATGGACTAGTATTAAAACAGTTGAAACTGGGACACATTTATAAAATAACACTAGGCTAACAACTAACATCTTCAAAAAAACTTTCAATTAAAAGTTAATAATACTAAAATGATAGCGCTAAGTAATGACTGCAAATGAAATATATTACATTATAAATCCAAAATATGTTACAATGTGTTAATAATCACTACATAGTATAAAATACAGTCGCTTTCCCGCTGTCTGTCCCTAAGTATGCTTAAATCTTTAAAACTACGCAACGGATTTTGATGCGGTTTTTTTTAAAAGATAGAGTGATCCAAGAGGAAGGTTTGTATGTATAATACATGCATAATATAGTAGAGAAACCGTGATAATTTTAGAGGTTTCTAATGTGATGTCGTAAATAAACACATTTTTTGCGCTTACATTGCAAACGCTGGCTGAACCCTACGAGATAGATTAAAATAATGTACTACAATATTGTACATCTAAAAAGGGTCTACAAAAAAGTCTGCGATGGTATATGTCTATCTCTTAGGGATAACCCACAATAACCATTTTTATCCTTTACTTTTTATGAGAAATAATGACTTATCTACGAAGCGATTGTAGGCAATACAGCATTAATTCTTATCCAATTAAGTACTTTTAAATACATTGTGCATTTAATATAGATCAATATGGAACTTTACAGCATGTAATTTAAATTAATATTTTCGAAGATATTACAGACTTAAAATGCAGGGACATAGCGGTTGGGGCGGTACGGCAGGTTTGTATTGTCTAATGACAAAAAAACTGAATGTTGTATATAAAGACATTCTGTAGTATATTTAGTATGTTCAGGGGGTATGTTTTGAAGATTTCCCCTTCTCGATAATAACCTACACAAAACAAAAATATACATATTTAGTATTAGCATTGCACCCGTGCGAAGCTGGGACGGGTCGCTAGTAATAAATAAATTAGTTGTGAAATTACTATTTACGATAAAAATTAAACAAATTTATAGGTAGTTTGTTAATACATACCTACTTGGTTACACAACTTCATTTCCAAAAATTACTTGGGTAAGTATTAATAAACAATTTTTGTAATTGATGTAATAATATCGTACACATTAAAAATTTTAAGTTAATTGCCTTTAATGTGGTGTTAATCATTTCTGCTAAAATTGGTACAAAAAATATTAACAAATTAATTTTTCCCGTTAAATGCTACACATTTTTAGCGCCTACTGTAAGACTCGCATTTTGTTCGTTTTATTTTCCGCCCATTATAGTAAATCGCTAGTAAACATCTTATTATGATTTCGTCTAAACGGAAAAAACTGAACCCTTATAATTTAAATTATTTGTCGTGCAATTTTTATGAAACTGCATGACTAATTTAAATAATTCCAATTTATTGGAATTGATCATATTTAGGGATTGTTCCAAACAGACTTACAAATGACTAAAAAGGTGCAAACCATTTTTTAAGCTGTCATTAAAAAAATGTTGGTACCGATATTCATCAAATATTGATTTCATTTTGTGGCGTTTTAGAGTCTGATCTACAAACGACATTGCATTTTGCTTCCTTGAAGTGTTAAGAACAAATCAAGGGCCAAATTTTTTCTTAGAGCCGCCCTGGGAACCATAGAAAATACCGCCCCATTACCCATATTCTACAAGAAGAGAAGGGGGTTCAGATAATTTTTGAACTTGCCGCTACAAATACCATTAATATTCTAATACTGGGAAGTTATTGATTTAAGGTCGACTTTCGAAAATCGAGTATTCATCAGATTTCGACGTTTTGGAATCATAGGAAGCTAATGGTCAATAAACTATGTCGAGTTCGAGAATAATGTTAACAAGTTTCAAAAAAGTTTTTTTCGTTTGATATATTCAAATTCCTAGTGAAACCGATATTTGGTACTTAGCTGTCTTTTGTGCTTTACAAACGTTAACAAACGATGTGGAACGTACCTCAACCTTTGGATTGATGTAATAGATATTATATGTTTAATTATATATCGTCACCATTATACGGTCATCAGTCCTAAAACTGGTTGAACACGCACCTCCAGTCTTTCCTATTCTGAGCTAATCTTCTCATTTTCCTAAAACTAAAACCTCCGACATCCTTAACTATTTGTGAACAGTAATCTAATCTAGGTCTGCCTCTACTCTTCTTAAATCTTATTTCTACTTCTAATGTGTCTCTACTACCTCCTAATTTCTAATCTTCTCTATCTTTATCATTTGCTTGTAACCACATTTCGAACGGTTTTAGAAAATACCACAAATGGCGCGGTAAACGCCATCTGTAGTATGATGCTACATTTTAGGATTACCTATGCTCCAACAAGGTCTATTTAATTATATGGATATCTGCTTGCTGAAACGAATCCCGGAGTAGCTAACCTCAACGTGGTAGGCACGTTACCATAATCGAATAAAATAATTCGAAGTGGTCTGTATTCTGTCGAAACTGCCAGACGCGGATCGCGATTTCGATCTCTTTGGATCTCATCAGCGCNCTTATTTCCTTATTAGGTTTATAAAATTATAAATTGAAGTTGTTTTAGTTGATATTCTAATGTTTGGAAGTTAGCAAAAGACAAACGTAGTGGTCATGTTCAATTTTAAACTTGGTTAAAAAATATACGGTAATTTTTAGTTTTTGGATTTTTGGTATTACATATTAATAAATTATTTAACCTCTACTTTTCCTGCCAAATTATCGACAACATGCATAATATTTTCAAGAGTAAAACGACTGTGCAAGTAGTGATTAAAAAGTATAGTAAATTTCTTTGAATCGGTACAAATTCATCTCTAAAACTCTGAAACTGAAGGAACGTGAAATTTTAATTAAGCAATACGTTACGTTGTTGACCTTATTAATGCAATCGAGAGCCTTCTCCAAATCTCCACGAAGCATCTCATAATTCGCCAAAGCTAAGAAGTTGCCTGGCTGAGCTTCTTCAGGAATTTGCAGCATACGTGATCGATCCATTTTCTTCTTCATCTTCAACGACTGTTTAATATCTTTTGATCCCATCGCAGCTGCTGCAGCTCTATCTTTGTCGGTGTACATCTCCTCATCTCTGATCATTTTCTTCTTCTTTCTCTTTTTTTTGCCAGATAATTCCTCTGCTGTTTCACCTTCGCCCTTACCGATAGATGGTTTTCGTTCAACTGTAGCCAAATCTTCCAACGAGCTTTTTCTACGTCTCCCATCATCCTCCTTTTTTTCTGAATCTTCTTCGTCCGTTAACTTTTTGGCTTCCAAACTCTCTTGCAGCTTTGCAAAAGTAACTGTTAGTTTTGACGGTTGTTTAGATAATAAATTGGTAGCCTTTTTAATGATGGATACCAGCGGCTTTTCCTCTTCGACCTTTTGCTCCTTTTCACAAATAGCTTCGTTGATCTTTACGAAACGTTGAATAATTTCATTATCTCTGTTTGAAGCTAACAGCAATGCGGCATTGTTTCGGAAACGTTCCATTTTGATGAAGCACCTTTATTTTTATTTTCACTTAAAGAATTTAAACGACTTGTTTGGTTGAAAGAAGAAACACACACAAAAGATTGTTGTCGTTATCGACACTTTCCAAAAGCAGTACAAACTGCGAAAAGTAGCACTTAAAGGTGTCGTTTCTATGACAACTGTAGCTAGTATGATCAATGATGATGCATGATGGCACCTACACGAGGTAAAATACACACTGAAGTACCGTTTATTGTTGCTGATTAACTTTATTGTTCTGTTTTGATACTATAATAACCTATGGGCATAGTCGAACTTGATTTACAATATCTAAAAGATGTCTTGAATACTCCGAAGAGATTTAAAAGCCTTTAGATTGCTGTAGAAGTTGATCTAAAAATAGCAGAACAATGTAAACTGTCCTTGAAGAAACTTAAGTGACTAACAATTTTCTTCGATTGTAGAGGGTTTTCGTTTTATAAAGTTTAAAACAATTGTTTCGACCTTTAATGGAAATTCATCTTAACAAGAAAAACACTCTTCCAGAAGATTTTCTCAAAAAATTATTGAATATTAATGTGAAAATTCATTTTCAATTTTTTACTCACTATAAACTACCTGAGGTTAATGAGGGAGAATTTTGTTGCTGTTGTCACACCCTCGCCTGGCATTCAACTCGAGACCTTTGGCTTCACGCACCAATGCTCTGATCTCATTAACCTGAGGTAGTTTATAGTGAGCAAAAAATTGAAAATGCATTTTCACATCAATATTTGATATTAACGGCTATTAAATGTCAGTGTTTCATATAATATATAGAAAAACTTATTGGTTTGTAAAATAAGCAGGTATTTTTCGTCAAATGGGCTCCCTTGGGCAAAAGCACTTAATACTATTGAAAATACAATACGCTGTTTGTGCTAAATAGAATAACAATTCTTCTTCGGGTGTGATAATGATCGAAAAATACTTATTCAGTGGTGAAAAGTTATTACATTTTATTTGGCCAATTAGTAAAATACCTGATCTTTCATATTCATTTAGTAAGTTAACGTTATTAAGGTAATTTCAGTATTTTAGTATTATGATTAACTTTAAGTCACCAGGAGTATACACAGATCACAGGTTTATCACTATAGGATGCTAGTTTCTTCAATTTTGAAGTTAATAATGTAGTGATATATATTAATATTGGATTGTTGTGGAATTTACTTGTTTGTTAGTGTTAGTTTATTTATTTAGTGGTCATTTCATAAAAGACTATTACCATAAGAACTATTAGTAGTGTGATAGTGCATTCTAGTAGGGTTCTTATTCAACCGTCAGTTGGTGGTGAGTAACATTACCAATGCCTGTCGTATAGTTCGAAATATTCCCGGTATATTGGCCAAAATTTCCAGCAACTGGGTATGCCGTGTCAGTGTTACATTGAAGCGAATGGCGAACAGTTTCAACATTTTTTATAAAAAGTACGCTTTTCTTTTTCACTTTTACCTTTTTTTACAAGGTGGAACTGCATTCGGCTTAATCCCGGTAGGTACTTGTTACATCCACACTGGATCAGCTGAACGACGTTAGTCGCCTAGATTCAGGCCCGTAATGAAACAAATTGTACGTTCAAATTTACAAAGACGATTTGCGAGCTCAATTGTCATTGGATTGAAAAATTGTATAACACTTTTTTGTTGTATTTTGTGTCAGGAAGCAATGTTTTTTTTTTTAATTATTATAAATGGGACACCCTGTATACTCAAGTATTTTATATAGTAAGGGAATGTCTGTAAACCACATGAGTCTATTTTAGCCACTTCTTGACTTCCTTCGCCACACATGGCTTAACATGGTTTTATCCTTGGAACAGGAAATCTGACTATTACATGTAGTTAATTAAAATATTCATTCTTTTAATAATAACCAACCGTGTTGCACAGATCCACCTCCCCTTACATATTGTTTAGAACAGCCTTTTATCAGATTCCTTTTCGCATACGGTTTATGGACAGCCTGTAAGTACACCAGTTTTTAGCCCATTGCTTTTTTTACATTTAGTTTTTTTCAATTTGACAGTCGGAAAAGCTTTCAAAATAGATACTATTACAAAAACGTATTTCCTTTTAATAGAAGATGCAACTGAAATATTAAGCAGTTGAACTTATACAGAACCAGGAAGTTTTTTGTTTTCTTTGTTTATAGTAAACAAATAGGGACTTATTTTTCGTGTTTGCGATCATAAGTGACTCATTAAAGTACTGAATTACTTATGAAGTAATTGATGAATTATTAACGAAAATTCAGAATCAATATTTTTCCTACAATCTAACAGTGCTAATTATATATATTTACCATCTGTATAGATAAATTTACGGGTAGAATGAAGATTCGGGCTATAGGGCCGTGGTCTAAGTGAACTATTTTGTCCAGACGTTTCGTCAACTACTGCGGCTGACATCCTCAGTAGTAGTGCTGCGATGACAACGTGAAGATGTAATCTATGTTCACGTTGCCAACGCATATATCAATTGTTGTTTTTCATTTGGTGGTTTAATTATTTAGACGGGAGTTAATGTGTTTTAAAATCCATTATTAGCAGGTAAGAAATTTTGGACAGGAGTTAATGTGTCATTAAAGGACTACCTGATTTGGGCGGGAGTTAATGTACACCGTACCAATAAATAGGGACGGATAATCCGCAAGAAACAAGTCGGCCATTCGGCACGGACTTTGTATATCATTGAATTTGTCAATTCCTAGTCGAATGGAGACAGTTGAATCACCCCTCAACCTTAGACTATTAAATTGTATCATCTTGGTTAAATGGAAGGCGGTCTATTGCAGTGAATCAGCTTAGTTTGTAATTTTCCACAAAGTTTGCGGGAACTAGAATAGCTGACGAGACGGAAAAATTAATAGAGATTATGTAATTTGCCAAATTGTTTTCGAGACATTCGAAATTATGTGAAAGTATGTGTTGTGAATGCAGTGTACAACATAATTACTGAAATTCGTTAGACTCTTCTCTATTCTGGTTTATTTCAAGCACACATTTTCTTTTTCGTATTTCTTGGCTCATAGCAAACAGAAGTATGTAATTCTTTTTCATCAAAAGAACTGCTGGACATGTTAAATTGAAAACGAAAAAGAAAACAGGGATTCAAGAAACAATAAATTGCAGAAATCATACAAATGCACTTAATAATATGAACTGATTTCGTACTGGTTAACTTCGACTTTGCTCTGATGGAAAGTGGTGGGTAGGCTAGAAGACTCTCTTTATTAGTCTTTAATTTATTAAGTTGTACATTTCTAGATCTAGATGAGATTACTGTTCGCAAATAGTTAAGGATGTGGGATGTTCTAATTTTAGGGANTGGTTGAATTAAAATCCATTATTAGCAGGTAAGAAATTTTGGACAGGAGTTAATGTGTCATTAAAGGACTACCTGATTTGGGCGGGAGTTAATGTACACCGTACCAATAAATAGGGACGAATAATCCGCAAGAAACAAGTCAGCCGTTCGGCACGGACTTTGTATGTCATTGAATTTGTCAATTCCTAGTCGAATGGAGACAGTTGAATCACCCCTCAACCTTAGACTATTAAATTGTATCATCTTGGTTAAATGGAAGGCGGTCTATTGCAGTGAATCAGCTTAGTTTGTAATTTTCCACAAAGTTTGCGGGAACTAGAATAGCTGACGAGACGGAAAAATTAATAGAGATTATGTAATTTGCCAAATTGTTTTCGAGACATTCGAAATTATGTGAAAGTATGTGTTGTGAATGCAGTGTACAACATAATTACTGAAATTCGTTAGACTCTTCTCTTTTCTGGTTTATTTAAAGCACACATTTTCTTTTTCGTATTTCTTGGCTCATAGCAAACAGAAGTACGTAATTCTTTTTCATCAAAAGAACTGCTGGACATGTTAAATTGAAAACGAAAAAGAAAACAGGGATTCAAGAAACAATAAATTGCAGAAATCATACAAATGCACTTAATAATATGAACCGATTTCGTACTGGTTAACCTCGACTTTGCTCTGATGGAAAGTGGTGGGTAGGCTAGAAGACTCTCTTTATTAGTCTTTAATTTATTAAGTTGTACATTTCTAGATCTAGATGAGATTACTGTTCGCAAATAGTTAAGGATGCGGGATGTTCTAATTTTAGGGAAATGCGAAGTTTAGGTCAGGGTAATTTTTGATATATCCCACGCGTTAATCTTATTTATTTGTAATATCTTTAAATGATTCCGCTTTTACTTGATAGAAATTCATTATGAACCAAAAATATAACTCATCAATTTCCATATTTGTCAAACATTTATAAATAGTGGACATGTTTCACGACTTTGTACTTTCTTTAGTAGTTTCACTTGAATTTTCAACTTTCAATTCTAGTGAATAATGCACCTAACCAACGACAAGATAAAGTTTGATTGATGGATCATATGCAAATAAGGAATATTGAAATGCACAAGGTTAAAATGGTCTACCAAATGGACGCACATCAACTTTCGTCCAAACAATTGGTTTACCTTTTTCGCCACATGTGGTACTTCATCCCCTGCATTAATTCCCATCCAAGCAAAATAATAATTAATTAATGTATCACTCCGAACATATACAGGGTATTTTTAATCATGTAAGTATTTTTATTTCTTAAATAACATATATGTACATTAGGGTGCTTTAAACAAATTTTTTAATTTTTTTTTCTAACTTTTACCCCCTCAAATGTTTCTATTTGATGTAAAAAAATTCCTCGCCAAACATGAGCCCTATAGCTCAAATCTAAGGGGTCCCTATTTTTATTTTAGTTTCCCATTTAATTAACATAGGAAAAAATCTTTTTTGTTTTAAATTGAATTTA